TCTTACTGTAAATAAGTGAAAAATTTTCAGCCTTAGCAGTTGGACATTTCGGTTTTTATACTGCTTTTTTTAATTCACTAACGCTCTAAAAATGAATATTTCAGCCGCAGTAAAGAATCAACGTTGGCGGATTTTGGTTCTTGACATCCTTTACGATCGGTTACGATGCCTAGAGTACGGAGATCTGTACGATTTCGTCAACTTAGTGAGTTTGATAGGGGCCGTATAGTGGGACTTCGGGAAGCTGGACTTTCTTTTCGGGCAATTGCAGTTAGAGTGCAAAGAAGTCTAGACACTGTGGTTAGGTGTCGTCAGGCATGGCTTCGAGAAGGCCGTACGCAAAGAGCAAGGGGCACTGGACGCCGCCGTAGAACAACAGACCGTGAAGATCGCCTCCTAAGATTATTGGCCTTAAGGGACCGTTTCTCCACTACCAGGTCCATTGCAAATGAATGGTTTGCAAAACACGGAAGACCTATTGGCATGCGAAGTGTTTACCGACGAATGAGAAGTTTTGGCTTGTTTTCATACCGGCCACACTGGGTCCTCCCTTTAACTCGAGAACACCGACGTAATCGCCTTGAGTGGTGCAGACAACGGTCACTCTGGGAACAGGAATGGAACAGTATTGTCTTTAGTGACGAGTCTCGATTTTGTTTAGGCGTGCACGATGGTCGTGCCAGGGTTAGAAGGCGACGTGGTGAAAGGAGGAATCTACAGTTTTTTGTTGAAAGACATGTTCATCACACTGTTGGAGTTATGGTTTGGGGTGCTATAGCTTATGGTTCCAGGTCACCTTTAATCTTCATCAGAGGTAACATGAACGCGCAGCGTTATATCCACGAAATTCTAGAACCCCATCTTTTACCCTATCTTGACACCCTGGCAGATCCAACTTTCCAACAAGACAATGCCCGACCACATGTCGCAAGAGTCACAATAGACTTCTTTCAACATAATGATGTCACATTGTTACCATGGCCACCAAGATCTCCCGACTTATTCCCAATTGAGCACGTGTGGGATATGATGGGTAGGAGATTGCTCAATTTGCAACGTCCTCCTCAGACTCTAGAAGCACTTCGAGAGGAGTTGGTGGTTGCCTGGAATGAGATACCACAGGAGGACATTGACCACCTGATCAGATGCCTAGGCGCGTTGGAGAATGCGTAGCACATCAGGGTGCATCCACACATTATTAAAGGTCAAAGGGCTTTAAAGCAGTGCAATCATTTTGAAATTTTTATCATTTACTTACTATGCTTCATTAAGTACTTATACAAAATTTTATTAAAATAAAACCATTTAAACTGGGTTTTCGGATTTATATGTCACTTAGTATATTAGTATGGATAATGTGCTTATATAACTTAAATTTAAATCATGAATGCTTGTTCTAAATGCCAGCTTGTTGCATACGCGTAGTGGTGAATGATTGGTTATAATAAATTTTATAAGTGATAAAAATAAATATTTTAACATGTTATTATTTTAGAGATCTATAAATTTTTGATTGGGCCAATTGCATGATTGTATTTCGTGAGGTTATTGGTCTAGAATTTTGAATCTTTTGTAGTCTGTAGGTAAACATTTGATCCAAGTAAGGATAATACGTTATGATTCCGTATAAAATTATGGTAAATAATCAATGATTCACATAATCGCTTTTTTGTTTTAAAACTGAGGAAGTGCCTGTTGGTATCAATAGTTTCAGCCTAAAATAGCTTTTTTTGATAACGCTGTTGACACGCGTGTGAAAACGTCTTCTTCTTATATGAGTAGACCCAAACTTTAGCAAACATGACTAAATTTTGAATCTGTGCTGCCTAATTTCAGGTTCAGGCCTGCAATTAGATGTTTCCGTTTTTCTTTCTTGCAAAATATTGCGAAATTTGACTTTTGAGCATTGAGTTTCATGTTATTGATAGCAGAATGGTTATTAATACTTTCGAGATCAATATTAATTTTAGCCTCAGGCATTTTGAAATCGTCAGGTGGAAAGCTTAAGAATAATTGGGTATCATCGGTTACAATCGGATTTTTAATTTTGACAGTCAAACCAAGTGTATATATAAAGAAAAAGAGGGGCCCTAAAACTGAACCTCGTGGTACCCTTGAAGGAACATTTCGTAAATTTGGAATACTTGTTGACCACCTGTTGCTGTCTGTCTTTAGGATATGACGCTAGGAAACGTAGAGCCAGTTTATCAAATCCAAAATAAGTACATGTGAGGCATTCTTAATGTCTATCAGAAATCTTGCAACCCATAAAACTTCGTGTTTTTTGGTATGCCGCAGATCGAGGTCTAGATGGAGACAAGAGCATTTTCGATCCAGTTGTCAACATCTTCTTAAAAACAAACACAGCCAACTGATAAATCTAACTACTTATTACAGTCATTATCTTCAGTGTTCTGAAAGATGCGGAATTAATGCGATTTCTGAACAGCCTAAGGTTATTAACACTAGGAAAAGTCTCGTCATGCAGATTGTACAACAACCACGATACCCGAGGAACGGTGATAATGGCCAGTGCTGGATGTGCGATGTTCGATAGTGTCAAGATGGGACCAAATGTCTGGCGGGCCCGTCTGGCTCTAAGGAGCAAAGCCTGTTGGTATAGTAATAAAAGAGAGCCAGATCGGTGACCACCCGTGTGAAAGGATTCCGGACTGTCCGTTAGTCGAGGCGACATCATCCCAAAGATGCGCGCCGTACTCGAAGCCTGGGCCTCGTCTAGAGAGAGAAATTTATGCGGAGGAAATCAAACTATCGGCACAAAAATGACATTTTAGAAAACGTAATTTTTTCAACTAAGAAATGATTCCGCTAAAAGTTTGACAAAAACACGAGACTTGATTGAGTGCTACGAATTACTATGTATTCATAATAATAATAATAATAATAATAATAATAATAATAATATTTATTCGCCAAAATACAAAAAATGGGCAAATAAATATGAAAAAACCACAGAAGGCATCGCCTGTGTGTGGTTTATATCTTAATAACTAACAATCAATCATATATGTGTATAACAATTATTGTTAAATCTAAAAGGTATTAATGTAATTGGAATTTTGTACTTTTAGTTTTCTATATAATTATGTATAGTCATTCGCTGCACATTACTAATCCAGTCTTTCAATTTTCTTCTAAATTTTTTTCCAAAATTAAGTATCTTTATTTCGTTTGGTACTACATTATATAATTTAGCCGCTAAGAATTTAAATGATTTTTTGAATAATGTTTTGTGTGGTCTTTGGATATTAGATGAGCCTATTCGAAATCGTGTGTTATGCTCGTGTTTATAGGATTTTTTCTTTTTATTACAATACTTATGGTATAAGGTGGTGGCATGTAAGAAATAAAGTTGTCTTGTATCAAGTATCCCTGTTTCTTGATATAAGTTGTTCGTTGGATATAATCTTAGCTTATGGAAAATGGCTTTCAAAACAGTTTTTTGTGCTATATTCAGGTCAGAAATATATGTCTTGCAGGCGGCACCCCAGGCTGTGATGCCGTATATTATATGGGTTTCAACTAAGGCATGGTATAGGATTCGCAGATAACTTTCTGTAAGAATGTTAGCAAGCATTTTGAGTTTATAGGCAACATTTCTAATTTTTTTGATAACATATTTAATATGGTTATCCCACCTTAGATGTGAGTCTATAAATATTCCAAGATATTTCAAAGTGTTAACTCTATCGATTTTGGTCTTTTGGCCATGATAATTAACGGAAATTTGTTCGAAGGTAGGTAAAAATTTTGAATAGGATGTAAATGCAATAAATTTTGTTTTTTTGGAGTTAACTGTTAAAATGTTAGTATCAAACCAGTCAATGATCCTTATAAAATCCTTTTCAGCTATTTGCTTCAGTGTGCTCCAGTCATCAGCTTTATATAATACGAGGGTGTCATCTGCAAAACATATAATCTTTCCAGAACTGTTAATTTTGAATAAGTCATTTAAGTAGAGACTAAATAATAGTGGGCCTAGTACTGTTCCTTGAGGCACACCACACTTGATGTACATTTTTTTACTGTAAGTGTTAGTGATTTTGACAGTCTGTGCCCGACTTGAAAGGTAATTTTTTAAAACGATTTGTGACGCTCCCCTAAATCCTAATCTTTCCATAACTTTCAGAAGCTCGACATGGTTAACCGTATCAAAGGCATTTTTTAGATCAACAAAGATACCAACAGTAGGTATCTTTTTGTTGACATTAGAGTTAATTTCATCCATTGCAGCCAAAATTGCATCTGTAGTAGATTTTCCTTTTCTAAATCCATATTGTTCAGAACATATAATTTTGTTTTTGTCCAAAAATTGCAATACCCTTTTTTGTAGTAATTTTTCGAAAATTTTGGCTATATTCGATAGTACTGATATGGGTCTATAATTTGATGTTTCCATTCTGTCACCGCTTTTATAAACAGGAGTAATAACAGTTGTTTTAAATGCATCAGGACAAATTCCAGATTGGAAACACCAATTAATGACGTAAGAAAGTGGTTCGGCTAAGTCGTAGGCTATTATTTTTAAATGCTCAGCTTTGATACCATCCACACCAGGACTTTTTTTGGTTTTAAGTGATAGGACAGCTTCTTGTACTTCAATCGGACTAACGCTTTCTAAAAAGAATGATTTGGGAAGTTGGGTTTTTGTGAACTTTTCGTTCGAAACCATTTTTTTAATACTGGATGCTAAATTTTCTCCAACATTAGTGAAAAAATTTAAGAATGCATCGGATATTTGTCGTTTATCTGTTAATATCGTTCCATCACGATTCTTAATTTCATCAATATTTGGCTTTTCTTGAACGTCTTTGTCAGTTAAGTGATCGACAACTGACCACAGTTTTCTTGGATAATGGAACATCAATATCAATACCAAAATTGACAATGACTGTCCTGAAATAAGTTTTCTCAGTATCTTTTTAGTTCAACTGGTATGGATTAGTTCTGACGCATTTTTTTTTTAATTCAAAGCGTGAGATATTTTCCTCAAATGACCTAAATTCCACCTTCTCGATAGATGTTTTCGACAAATCAAGATAATATACACTTCTGAATGACTCTTTTTAGCCTGTCATGTCCTTATAAGGCGAGAATACACATGCTTGTTACACGCACTTAAGCATGCCAGTTACTGGATTGTGCGTGCTACTTGCATGTGTGACTTTCTCTGCCAGCAAGAAGCCATCCTAGAAGATAGCACGCCAGTAGATCGCAAGACGTTTGATTTTTGTGTGCCAGTAGCAGGATTTCGTCGAGGGAATGGAGGGGAGGAAACATGCGAGTCATGTTCAAAGGTGTGTGAACGACATCGTTACCAGAAACTCGCATGTGAAAAACGGATTCTTGAACTATAGAACTATTTGTTTATTTCGGGGCAAAATGGCTCGTTAGGGAGACGAAAAGACTTTATTGTTTGTTATGCAGTATCCGTGTTTATGGAATACATGATCTCCATTGTATAAAAATAAAATCGCTAGAGACAATGCTTACAAGTCTTTATTGAAGCAAATGACTGATAACAATTTAACATTGAAATTTATGAAAGATAAGATAAAAAACCTAAGAACAACCTACCACCAAGAGTTAAAGAAGATAAAGGAAAGTTTTCACAGACTGGCATATCCAAAACTAGCATGTGTATTTTGGGATGTCGTAGGACAAGTAGTTAGCATACAACTTACTGGCCACTGGCATGCTATTTTACTGGCATGTGTATTCTCGCCTTAATGGGTTCGTGACTCCAATCAATATCTTTAGAGTGGTCGAGGTCTAGGGCCACGTGTAACAATAATCGGTCTGCTGTTTAGCCTGTCCTTTGGCGTAAATTTCTCAACCAAGGTAGTTTATTTCGACTCATTAATTTCATTCCTTGGATATTTTTTATTATAAAAATGTATTGATATTTTATAGAAATGTTTACATGTACACACACACAAATATACATATAACAAGGAAAGTGAGATACAGATGCTTTTCCGGAACGTTCAGAACTGAAACTTTTGCGTTCCGTTTTCTTCTCAATTTTCAGATTCGATCAACTTTTGTGCTGTGAACTTAGTGCTAACAAAGCATATAGGTACTGAAGAGATAGTATAGGAGTTACACTGATCATTAGAAAACGTTGGAAAACATCGTATCCAGATTTAGAATATTCCAGGACCATATAAATTATAGACCATGGAGGTCATCCGATAGAATACGATCTTAAAACGGTTGGTCGATGTTTCCTCAATTTTCTTTTCGGCTTGTCAATCTTCTCCTTTGATTTTGCTCTGTGGATTAAAACTTCGTGCACCTGCTGCTCTATGGCCAGTTCCCTTGCCTGGAACAAAGAACATCGTTTTTTAAACGAGACAATGTAAAACAGTTAAGCTTTTTTTCACAATGCTCCAATACTGTCAAAAAGTATACCGGTGTTCCAAACTCGATTATCACCATTGGGATTTCGGAAAGTAGCAGTAAAAATTTAAAAAGATTATGTTTTTTTCATCTCTGTCCAGAAGTACTTCAAATTTCAAAAGTCCTAAGCGGCATTTTGTTAGTTACCTAAATACGCAAGTTTGTCCCTATTTGAGCTTTACTTGTCCTTTTCTTGGCCTCTGGTAGAGAAATTGACAAGTTAATATCAAAGGAGGCCGATTTTTTTGACATCATCAATTAATAATTTGTCGCTTGATGCAAAATGTATTTTCTGGAGGCATAGGAAGAAAAATATAACATCTGAAACTTGTCCTGTGGTTTACGTGTGGAGACGACAAAAACCCTCCAACAAACACGAAACCTCGTCGTCAGACAGATAGAAATGAGTAACATAGTTTTTTGTGATGTACATGTAATAAACCGTTTGAGAAACCTTATGTCCAAAAATTCACAGACATAGGAAGTAATAACCCAATATTTAAACTTGGAATAGTGAAAAAAACTATTCTCACATTTGAAAAACGAAAGAAATTCTAAATCGACCTCGCAAGAAGGTTTACTTGCAAGCCAATGGTAATAATGGTAATAATTTATTCATCATGTGGATCACAAAGTGATATAAGATAAGTCAATGGAATATTTGTATGAAAAGAATTGCATATATACATAATTAATAACAAATAACAAACAGGAGGTGTATAAACATGAAAATGAATTAAACTCACAACATATACTAAGTGACATAAATCCGAACAGCCAGTTTAAATGGTTTTATTTTAATAAAATTACTTAATGAAGCATAACAAGTGAATGATAAAAATTTCAAAATGATTGCACTGCTTTAAAGCCTTTTGATCTTTAATAATGTGTGGATGCACCCTGATGTGCTACGCATTCTCCAACGCGCCTAGGCATGCTTCTGATCAGGTAGTCAATGTCCTCCTGTGGTATCTCATTCCAGGCAACCACCAACTCCTCTCGAAGTGCTTCTAGAGTCTGAGGAGGACGTTGCAAATTGAGCAATCTCCTACCCATCATATCCCACACGTGCTCAATTGGGGATAAGTCGGGAGATCTTGGTGGCCATGGTAACAATGTGACATCATTATGTTGAAAGAAGTCTATTGTGACTCTTGCAACATGTGGTCGGGCGTTATCTTGTTGGAAAGTTGGATCTGCCAGGGTGTCAAGATAGGGTAAAAGATGGGGTATAAGCTATAGCACCCCAAACCATAACTCCAACAGTGTGATGAACATGTCTTTCAACAAAAAACTGTGGATTCCTCCTTTCACCACGTCGCCTTCTAACCCTGGCACGACCATCGTGCATGCCTAAACAAAATCGAGACTCGTCACTAAATACAATACTGTTCCATTCCTGATCCCAGAGTGACCGTTGTCTGCACCACTCAAGGGGATTACGTCGGTGTTCTCGAGTTAAAGGGAGGACCCAGTGTGGCCGGTATGAAAACAAGCCAAAACTTCTCATTCGTCGGTAAACACTTCACATGCCAATAGATCTTCCATGTTCTGCAAACCATTCATTTGCAATGGACCTGGTAGTGGAGAAACGGTCCCTTAAGGCCAATAATCTTAGGCGGCGATCTTCACGGTCTGTTGTTCTACGGCGGCGTCCAGTGCCCCTTGCTCTTTGAGTACGGCCTTCTCGAAGCTATGCCTGACAACACCTAACCACAGTGTCTACACTTCTTTGCACTCTAACTGCAATTGCCGAAAGAAAGTCCAGCTTCCCGAAGTCCCACTATACGGCCCCTATCAAACTCACTAAGTTGACGAAATCGTACAGGTCTCCATACTCTAGGCATCGTAACCGATCGCAAAGGATGTCAAGAACCAAAATCCGCCAACGTTGATTTTTTACTGCGGCTGAAATATTCATTTTTAGAGCGTTAGTGAATTAAAAAAAAAGCAGTATAAAGACCGGAATGTCCAACTGATAAGGCTGAAAATTTTTTCACTTGTTATTTACAGTAAGATAAATACATTCACAAAACTTTTATTAAAATAAAACCATTTAAGCTGGATGTTCGGATTTATATGTCACTTAGTATATTAACAATTTGAAATTAAAAAAGGCTATCACACATTAAAAATTCTTCTATAAAGTAAAAAATCTTTATCCTGTAACATTTGAATGATTCTATTTTTAAATAATGTCAGAGGTAGTGATTTAAGATCAATGGGTAGTCTGTTGAAGAGTTTGATTGCAGTCTATTTGGGACTTTCACTCGTTCACGGTAACCTATGTGACGGCACCTCCAAGACTACCCTGTTGTGAATTCCAGAATTTATAGAACAAAAATTGTCCAGGTATGTTTTGACGTAAATCAATATATTTAATAAGTATACTGAAGGCAGCGTTGATAATTTCAAAGTTGTGAATAGTTCTCCGCAACTAAAGCGCCCTCCCCACCTTTGCAATAGTTTTAACAGCCCCTTTCTATAGGTATTATAAAAAGCCTTCGTCTTGGAGAATGCTACCATGCTTCTATTGCTTAAGCTAGAGTAGAATGGATATGTGCATGGTAATACATTAACAATATCCACTCATCAACGATGAAACTCAATTGGACGGCTTTTTGCAGAAAGGAACCAACCCACTAAATCTGAAAACTCTAGATTGCCATTTACTGTCAAGAAGATCCATTCACATATTTAAAGCCATTAATTAAAATCGCGATTGGTCTGAAATGAATTTGTTATCGTTGTGAAAACATTAAAGCCTAATTGCTCAATAATTGTTTTTCTGAGCTGGTTCCTTTCTGCAAAAAGCTGTCCAACTGGTATTATGCAAAAGCAGAGAGGGGTCACTCTTTGACTCATTTTCTCTATATGCGTATCCCATTTACAGTTTCTTGCTATGTGTATATGTATTTATAAGAAGACTACGGTCCATATGCATTAGTGTAGCTAAATCTAAGGAGCAATATCGTCTTGTGGTTTAAGACAAGGCCGTTATTAATAAACGAGCCAAGCTGGTGTTGGTATTTATTACCACATGCTCCAAGTTTTTGCCATTAACAAGTAAGGTTGTATCATCAGCATTCATCACCGAGGACTTGGAGGTAAAGTCATTGACATGCATTGTGTATAGGAGGGGACCAAGTATGGAACCTTGCGATACACCTTCACGGTATAGCTGGTGGTCAGGCTGTGTAGTCGGTACTTTAGCATGTTTTCTGTTGGTTAGAATAAGAAGGTCTCAGATTTAACAGTGCCTCTTTCATCTTTCAGGAGGATATTTGTGTGAAACATCAACTACGCATTGTGCCCCAAAATTGCTTTAAAACACTATACTGATTAATGGATTTCGACATCTATACCCATCAACATAATTTCAATTAAATTTCAAACGATCTCTAACTTTGAACCTGATCCATTCATAGACATTTAAGCACTGCGTTCCACTTTAAACCTTGGCTTCACATATTAACTTCCGGGCGCTGTGGCAGATGTTTCATTAATCCTACTATCATCAATTTTCCGCAGTTTTGTCCGTCTTTAATTGGCTTTTATCCTTCACAATAAAACTTTCATCAATCAATGGGACGCGTTTTGGGTCACATGAGATTGCTTGTAGGTTTTTATTTCTCACGTGATAGATGAGAATGATATTGAGACCGCGAAGGCGTTTTTAATGTGTATGTGTGCTTAGGGGAAGGGTAGGTTGAACGAAGGTTTCAAAAAGAGGAGCGACCCAAGTCCTAAATCTTGAATTTAATTCAGAGATACTTTTTCTAATTGTCTGGAGAAGGGAAAGTATCAGTGGTACCGTCCATAGATTATGGAATTTGAGTTTGAATATGGGTCGTTTGCGAGTCGCCGTCGTTCCTGGTGTCTAACTTAAAAAGTAATAAAATTACGCCTACTTTACTACAAATTTGAGTTGAGTACAAGTACTATAAACTCAAGCACAAAATAGATAATAGTGTACAGACAAAAGAAATATAACAATTTGAGAATCTTAGCACTTCTGAAGTAGACATATACAGAATGGGAACAATATGTTAAGCACTAATTTAATATTTAATAATTCTATTACATCTTCAGGAGTTGATCTTCTGCAGGCATACATCAGCTAATGGCCGATTGGATAGTCATTTAATTGATACCCAAATTGCATTGGAGCGCAAAATAATCTGTGATTAGCAAGAACGGACCTCCGTACAACATTCAGACTTTCCCATCCCACATTATGAGTATTGAGGTTTTCAAGTTCGAGATACCGTTAAATCCGAAGAGCATTTCATTCATATGACCATTTGGAGCATAAACGAGAATACCCTCGACTGTTGAATGCTGACAACAGTGTTGCCAAAACCACCACTCTCTGATTCATATAAAAAGCTAAAATTTTTGCTTGTAATGGGTGATTTTTTTCCTCGTATCTTTTTGGCAACACTGTTTTTGACAGATGACGCGTGAATCGTGTCTTGTGTCATTGTCAAACTTGTTCAGTTTGGTCTATAATTTAACCATGAATCGACTTACGAACAAACAACGCTTGCAAATTATTGAATTTTACTATAAAAATTCATGCTCGGTTGAGAGAGTGCATCGAGCACTGCTTCCAATTTATGGGCAATTTGGTCGGCCTACTGAGGGAGCTATTCGGAAGCTTGTGACTAAATTTCGAACCCAGTTTACATTATTGGACATTAAACTACCAAAACGCAGACGTAGAGTGAGGACTGAAGAAAATATTGCGGCTGTATCCGCCAGTGTTAGTGATGGCCGTGAAATGTCGAATCGCCGCCGTTCGCAGCAATTGGGCCCCTGTTACTCCACTACGTGGAAAATTTTGCGACAGAGTTTGGGTGTAAAACCTTATAAGATACAGCTGGTGCAAGAATTGAAGCCACACGATCTCTCACAACGTTT